GCCCTGTTCGAGGTGCCGTGCTTTAAAAGGATAGAAGAACCTCCAGGAATGTGCTGGAGTGGTGGTCAAGTCCTGCTTCCTGTTATTAGATCCTTCCCTGAACCTTTGAATAGTCTTCTTAGCCAGAAGGATCAGCTTTCAGAACATTTTCTTTCTACAATTCGCAAGTATAATGGATGCTTTCAGATGACGTCATTCGGAGCAAAAGAATTGAAGGAAGGAAATTTTATGCCAACATTTAAAGTTCAGGGCCAGGTATACCACAGGATAGGTAGCCTATTGACTGAGCCTCCTCAACAACCTTCTTTTTTTCTACTTTCTCTGTGATGATGAACGTGAAAGAAACATTCATTGTGGTATTTTCCCAGGTGTTAAGCCAGAATTAGCCAATTACAAAAGACGCTACATGAACATAACAGGTATATTCACGATTTCAAAGCTGCTGTTTATTCAGTTCCTAAATACCAAAAGAAGTTCGAGGTTATAATTAATGCCGATAAAAAACCATCTGGAGAACACAAAGGTCGTTTCAATGCTCCAATTTTCTTGATATTTTATGTTTTATGTATAGGTTCCAAAATATAATATTATCGTCTGCCCAGCGAAGCGGGCGGGTATCAGCTAGTGTATAGTTATATCGTCAAACTTAAATTGCCGAGTACGTTTAGTCAGCGGAATGAAATTTATTAATTTTTTAATAACATTTTAATTTAAGTAATGTATTCCTACAGTTAAGATATTGGTTAGTTCTTATTTTGGGGGGGCCTGGTGCGCTTTAACTTTTTTTGGGCGATTTATCGCCAATGTGGTTACCATGCAAGTTTGTTTCTGGGAATTTTGTAAAAATGTATGAAATTTTTTTCCATTTTGAGTAACTTTTAATTATTGTAAAATGCTAAGAAATAAATTTTTGTGTTTTTTTACATTGGTAAGAGACATGTGTGTAAGGCTGTTGAACATATCTGAAGTGGTTGGAATGCAGTTTAGAGTAACCAGCCTTGGCGACAGGAATTATTTGGTGATATTTTGCTAAAAGTGGCTACCCGGTTGTCTCTTCACTGTTGTTGCTTTAGGCAGGGCGACCCTTTCAAATTTGCCATATTAATATGGATTCCAGTTCATTTTTAATTTATATTTATACCTCCCAATTCTTTTTGTTTTCCTCAAGTGTTTCAAACTTTTATTGATTGTTCCTACATATTTGAAACCCTGTTCTTTTAGTCTTTTCTACCAGTTAGAGAAGATAAAATATAACAAGCAAGTTTTTTTTTACATGTGTTTTCACCGACACTTAGATCTGATTTGGAATCTGCTTAAAAATGGAAATGCATTGATTATTTTAATTTTAGCTCCCATCCACAGTTAACCAAAATTTGCAAAGTGACCCATTTTGCTGAAATCTACAGAGTGTTTTTGACAGCTTTTTCAGCTCATCTAATTTAATGCTCCCACATAAGAATTTTGCTGTCACCGATTATTTTTATCAGTGTGTTGTTGATGGTCATGAGGTTATTGAAGAATTTGGAGGAAATTTTCTAGATAATTTGTCTAATGGTATATATCTTGTATTTGTGCATGTTTCTCATGAACCATCTGACATGAACTATTTGTCTTTTTTTTTTTTGTGTGTGTGTGTGCTTTTTTTAGTTTACACATTTTCAGAGAAAACCTAAATGGGACAGCTGTACATGAGGATAGATCTGAGAATCTTGTTAATATTTAAATTTGGAATCCTGGGCAATTAAGGGGTATACTGAACATGCAGAATTCTTGGATAGTTTGAGTTCCATGTTGTTAAAAAGTTAGTCTTTTTACCTACGATTTCTCACTTGTATTTGGTGTGTGGAGACCTGTCGATTTTAGGATTGTTTACAGTGGCATTGTGTTTTTTGTTCAGAGTGAAAAGAAGACTCCCTCCATTTCAGAGGGATTTTTCGTAAGATCGAAGTTGCGAAGGACATCCAATGTGTTTTTGTCGAAAACTGGTTTTCCAATGTTTAATTATCTTCAACTGGTTTTCAAGCGAGTTGGCTATTAAATTTGCTTCATCTGGATCAGATGGGCCGATGCTGTTTGGACCTTTAAGGATCGAACCTGTTTTCTGCTGAGCCTTGGCCACTCCCCGAAGAGGACATTCCTCTGCATCCCATAGTTTTTGATTTCTCCATCTCTAATTTTGAACTTATCCCCGAAGTTCCTCGGCTGTAGTGTTTTGTTTGTGTGCTCGCCAGACTGTGTGGGCGAGGCATGCCACTCTTAGATTTCTGCTCCCACATCAGACGTTTTTAAATGCAGTGTGATGTTTGTGTGTAAATCATTGTAAAAGTGATCCCAGTTTACAGAAGCATTTGTCTCATTACTTGGAATTCCACCGAAATTTATTTAAGGCATTATACTGAGTGTTTGTTCAAAGTTGAAATGCTACTGTGAAAGGAGCAAAAATTCTCGTCTGACCTGCCTCTGTATTTCTATTGTGGACACGAATGCGGTTTCAGTTTTT